CCCCCCCCCCCCCCCCCCCTTGCTGACATTCTCAGCGGCTGCGAGGGTAACAAACCCTAAACCCTAAACCCTAAACCCTAGCTAAACCCTAAACCCTAAACCCTAAACCCTAGGGGGGGGAAGGAAAGCAGAGAGAGACACTTGGGAGGGCGGGATGGGGTTTTGAAAGAAGGGTTTAATGCTGCTTATTTAGGGTTTAGGGTTTAGGGTTTAGGGTTTAGGGTTTAGGGTTTAGGGTTTATGATATTTTTAGGTTTAACGAGTGTAACCCCAGTATTTGGTTTCTCTTTATTTGCTCACGGCATATCGAGTTTATATACACAAGAGCTGCAGCAGCTACCATCTGCTGCTGCTTCTGCTGCTGCTGCTGCTGCGCTGCTGCCGCACTGGCTCGGATACACCACAGTAGCGCGAGAAGACGAAGAGGAGTTTCAGCAGGCAACCAACAACATTGTCTCCATTCAATCGAGCCCGGCGCAGAAGGGGGCCCCGGGGGGCCCCCCGGGGGGCCCCCCGGGGGGGCCCCCGGGGGGGGGCCCGCAGCAGCAACAGCCTGCAACAGCAGCAGCAGATGCACTGCAGCAGCAGCAGCAGCAACAGCTGCAGCAGGACCAACAGCAGCAACAAGAACAGCTGCTACACATGCAGCAGCAACAGGACATTCCCGCTGCTGCTGCCCCAGCAGCAGCAGCAGCAGCAGCAGCAGCAGCAAACAGCTGCCCTGCTGCTAGGGTATCTAAACTGGATGTTATATATAGGGGGCCCGGGGCCTCCATAGCACATGATCAGGAGGCGTCAGTGCAGGTTAGCAGCAGCAGCATGAGCAACAACAGCAGCAGCAGCAGCAGCAGCAGCAGCAGCAGCAGGAAAATTTGTTTGTCTGCTGCTGTATTCATTCCGCTTTCTTCAGATACCCCGCATGCTTGACATGTACAAGCATTGTCTTCTCCTGGATCGGGATCGGGATCGGGATCGGGATCGAGTTGTGGGGTGTGTGGGGTGTGGGGTTTGCTGCGCTGCGCAGGAGCTGCGGCAGTCTCTGGAGACGACAGCAGCAGCAGCAGCAGCAGCAGGCGTTCCCCTGCATGGTGGTGGTGGTGGTGGTGGTGGTGGTGGTGTGCGTGGGTTGCGTGAGCCTTTGCTTGGTAGCAGCAGCAGCAGCAGCAGCCGAAGCAGCAGAAGCAGCAGCAGCAGAAGACAACAGCAGCAAGAAGAAGAGAACAGCAGCAGCTGGCTGCTGTCTTGCTGCACCGGCAGCAGCAGCTGCATCCCCGCCCTTCGCCGCTGCTGCTCCCGCATATACCGTTCTCTGCGTCTCCGCCCCCGCAGCAGCAGACTGTACCCCTCATCCCCAACAACACAACAACCATCAGCAGCAGCAGCAGCAGCAGCAGCAGCAGCAGCAGCAGCAGCAACAGTACGCGTAGAACCTAAGACTTTCTTTGCAAACGAACGCACGCTGCTGCAGTGGCTCAACATTGCTGTTATGTTAGCTTCTGTAGCCATCACGCTTCTCTCCTTCGGCCAGACAGCAGCAAAAGCTGCTGGCTTGCTGCTCGCACCTGTAGCTATCTTCTTCATCGGATACTCCTTCTGGGTAATGCTCTGCTGCTGCTGCTGCTGCTGCTGCTGCTGCGGGGGGTGCTGCTGGGGGTGCTGGGGGTGGTGCTGCTGGGGGTGGTGCTGCTGCTGGGGGTGGTGCTGCTGCTGCTGGGGGTGGGGGTGGTGCTGCTGGGGGTGGTGGGG